GCACCGATTATGATGAGTGGAATGTAAGTTTTTAAGGGGTTTTCAGCGAAAACTGTGTTTTTTATGTTTTGTATGGATGAAAACACAAATTTTCGCGTGAAACCTTCTTTGTCTATGAACACACGAATTTTGTGTCGGTGCGAACATAGTATAAGAAGTTATTTATATCCACAAGACTACAAGAGGCATTTTATTTAACAAATAAATAAAAATAATGTACATTTACAAAATTTAATGTACTTAAGTAGTCGGTAATAAATCTTTAAAAAGTCTTGGTTACCTTAACAGCCCCTTGATCCTTTTAAAGCCTGCTCTACAGCGAAAAAAGGTGTCTGGCGGTGAGGAAGATTTTTCTACTTAATATTATTATAAAAACAAAAAATTATTAAAACAATAGATGAATACAGAAGTACTAGTCAAAATCGTTTTTTGTGAAACTTACATAGTTAACTTACACTTCAGAGTGAGTTAAAAAATTGAAATTATTATTATAATAAAATTGTATTCCTTCGATTAATACCAGAAAAATGTATTAAAATTTCGAGCCAATTGGTTAAGTGAGTTACATCTTAAAAAAAATTTAGCAAGTTTTTGGCATACAGGGTCCTTCATAACCATGTAATAAGAAAATGTCAAGGTGGCAGCACTGATTCTATCGTAACTAGAAGTTAAATATGAATAAAAATAATAAATATAACGATGCCTTGAATAAATTAAAAATATAGAAAAGCTTCGTTTTTCAACAGAATGACAGCGAAATTTGAGTGTTCAATGTGTTGTTTCACTAGTAATTGAGTAATTGAGGCATTCGAGTCTAAATCTTTGTCATACACTACACTACTAAACTGTCGTGTTAGGTATGTAAATAAGTATAAAACGTGAGTATGTAAGTATGTTTAAACTCATATGCAACTAACCGTAAATTTATATGAGTTCACAGCTACAAAAAACTTTGTATATATGTATGAACGCTTACAGGCATCGCCCGCGCATATTGTCTACCAACACTTGTTCACCATGAAATTATACACCTGTATGAACTGTATTACTTGAACACATGGGCCAAGGATAAGTTTGGAGCATGTCGGTTTTATTGTATTTGCAACAATTGTTGCCACATGCAGTGTTAAACGCATTCACTCACACATGCATGCAAGTACAAGTACATGTCAATATGAAAGGCTTAAAAGTGTGTATGTATGTTTGTGAGTATTCTGGCATTAAAATTAAAAGGAACGCACACACACATCACTTTTGCTGTTTGTGTCATAAAATAAACAATAGCAATAGCTGAAATAATGCGAAAGTCGAAATCAAAATAAAAACAATAAATTTGAGAACACAAATAAAACAAAGAGTTGCAGCATAGCTGTAAAACGTCCTTATACATTGAAAATAAAATAAACAACAACTATATGTAATTATGCCATGCATTTCTTGTTTTGAAGTTTCACTCATTTATTCACTTGTGCGCTCATTTACTTCGTTATATACATATGAATACTTATGGTTAACACTCCTACCCAGTAAGAAATTTAATGTTTTATATAAATTTATAAAAAATGGCTCAATATTAATTCGAATATATTTCTTTGAAAACTTTGAAAAACTACAATTTTTGAAAGAATCTGATATTTACACCTATATATATTTTAATCTTTTTTGTTGTATTCTTCCAACATGTTGCTACAGAGTATAATAGTTTTGTTCACCTAACCGTGATGAGCGTAATTGGACCACTGTCACGCCCACAAAACGTCATTAAACGAAAAGCTATAAAGTGTCATATGTAAACTCCAAATTAAGATACAAAGCTGTAATTTGGTACAGGGGATCAAGATAATGAGGAATACTTGTTGGCCAAACTCTTTATCTATCTTTAAGTATCTTCCAAACCGCTGTAGTTAACTCAACCATACATGCTGAGAATGCTTTTTAGTATTTCTTCATACACTGTGAAATGGGTAAAATCAGATAATAACCTATCTTAATGAAATTCAGAACGATCCTCGTTTAAATAACAGTATATCCTCTTGCCTAAAATGCTTTAAATCGGGGCAGTATATCCCCTAGTTTAATATAGGGTATTACCAACTTCTGAAGGTATTTCCCCGGTTTTGTTCTTTGCAAGTGCGAATAAATGTTCGGTATAAAATGTTCGGTTGCACCCGAACTTAGTTCTTTCTAATTTCTTTTATACACTAAAATACATGCTTGATAAAGCAGAGAAAAGCTGTTCTTTTATCCTTTCTCCCAGAGTAAATTTGTCAAACTACGGTCTTTTTAAGGGAGCTACCCTTTGTTTACTTAGCTTCCTACAATGAACTCAAATTTGTCAAACAGCCTTTGGATGGATGAAAATGTGGACTCGTTCCGCTGACGTGGATCCAAAATAGAGCCTTAAAGGCTTAACATTTTTCTCTGCTATGATATTAACTGTGATTAGTGAAAAATTATAATTTACTGTTAACAGAACAAGATCCATCTTAGAAAAAAACATAAGAAACAAACTAAGCCCAGAAACACAGGCTGTTTCGCAGCATGCGTATTCTAACGGAAAATTCTCAGAAACGGCACTAAGCTCAGTGGTAGCAGAGATTGAAAAATCTCTGGGGATTAAAGAATACACCCTAGTTGCATTCTTAAACATGGAAGGTGCTTTCAATAACATCCAGCCTGGGCATCTCTGAACCTCTTAGAAAACTAATTGAGGATATGCTCACGAGCAGGTCATTAATTTCAACGCTGAGAGCTTCAACGATGTGCAGATCTGTCCAAAAGGGTACACCTCGAGACGGGTGTGTTATTCCCACTTCTCTGAATCTTAACTCTGATCTGAATTCTCCCAATTAGTCGACTGTAATAAGGGGCACTCTATGATACTTATTACGTTCCCGTTTCTACCCACTACCATATATTTTCGAAATCCTATAGAATTCAAACTAAATCCGATCCCCCATATTCTAGAGAAGAGTGGGATAGGGAGAAGGTGGACAGAGACGCAGGAATAAGCATCTATACGGATGGGTCCAAAATAGATAATCGAGTGGGAGTCTTTTCAGAAATTAGTTACCAAACCGCTGCAGTGTCTTTTAAGCGGAGATCACAACAATCACAGAAAGCCTTGTTGTTCTGACAAGAAGTGTGCTCACAACCAGGAGTATATTTATATATATGGATAGCCAAGCGGCTTGAAATCACTGAAATCTTCTAGGGCTTCGTCAAAGAAAGTGAGAGAATACCTTGATGGATTAATGGATCTAACATCCTATTTCATGATAAACCTGCAATGGGCTCAACAAGCACGCAAACGTGGCATGAATGGAATATGGGCCGCACATGCCTATTAAAATTCAAAAGGTATGACAAAAGAACTCTAGTAGTAGTGCCGACAGGTCATTGTCTAATTGGCAGACATGCCAGCAGACTACGTGGATCATACAATGACTATTGTAGAAGTTGTCAGGAGTTAAAAGAACAGGAGACTGTAAAATATCTTCTATGCGAATGCAAGGCTCTATGCAGGAAAATAATCACAGCAATCGGTCGAGGATTTCTGGACGATGTCTCGGAAGTTTCTCACATAAAACTAGTTATACTGATGAACTTTATAAAAAACACAAGTTGGTTCAGAGAGGAGACAATAGAGTGAGGGAACATTAGTCCCGGTAGCATCACAATGGGCCACCTATAGGCCTAGGTGCGTCGTTAGACAGCCACTTTATTTACCTACCTGCCTACATTCAATAATATTGTATATAAAATATGATTAGTATTAGTTATTCAAAAAGCAAAATGTAGCTGTTTTGCTTACGTGATTGTCGCTGAATATTTTGTATCTGTATGTAAAGCCATATAACATATTTTTAATATTTTATTACAATTACAAAAAATAACAAACAGGCATCAACACTTTTCATAATCTATACAATAGCTTTCAAACCGTTTCACTTATTTTGCACTCTATTTCACTTTTTACGTTTATTCATTCACTTCGCAATTATAACTGTTTTATGTTCACATTGGAACACTGATTAAAGCCAACTGCAACAGTTTACTTTAATATTTTTTAAGGCAGCACACAGTGTTTTCACAAATATTTTAGTGTGCTTTCAAAACGCTACCAATAACTTTCTTCATACATTAGCTTCTAAACTGTTTAAAAAGTTTCTTGTGTTTACACTCATCAATTTTAAGGACACTGACTCAAACATTAACTTTCAAAGTCTCGTCTGTTGACGTCATTTAAAATTGCGCCACTGCTCGTTATTACACTTTTTATTGCATAGCCAACGAAGAAGCTTCTTTTTATACCCTGAACAGGGTATATTAAGTTTGCCACGAAGTTTGTAACACCCAGAAGAAAACGTCGGAGACCCAGAAGGATATTATAGCTTCGGTGCAACCGACGTTAACGTTTTTACTTGTTATTACAGACTTAGTAACTTAATAGTAATTATTACCTCAAGAAAATTAAATAATTCGATACACTTATTTATTAAATTGATAAAATTGTAGTAATAATACACTTTTCCGTTAATTTATTTTTAACCGAATCAAAGACGTTCCCTGCGGAAGCTAAAACCCGACTAAATTGACCGGATATTTATTTAAAAATATTGTAAAATGTCTTGTTTAAGGTCCTTGTGAATTTCAAAAAAACGATTTTTTTTTGTTTGTTATCGAATGTAGTATAAATCAGAATATTGAAATAATTAAACAGAAAAATCTTCCTCGCCGTCAGACATCTCTTTTTGAAGGCCTCCAGATCCTGCAGATCGGCTACTGTATACAGGGAATAGATTTTTTTTCAAAATGAATGGCTGATTATAAAAGTTTCATAAGTCCTTATTTTTATTTATATATTTAAAAAATTCTCAAAACAATTTCTAAAATTTTTGACTTTCTCATAAATATTGGCAGAGTTGCAAATAATTCATTAAAACAGATAATTGATTTAACATTCGACATATTTTTTTTTTGTTTTGTTATTCCGTTATTTGTTATTTAAATTTTTATTTAAAATAATTTTTAAATTTTTAATCCCACATACCCGATTTGAACAATCATGGATTTAAAAATAAAAATATTAAAAAACATTTCATTAACAAAAACCACTTCTTAACCCTAAATATTGTTATCAAAGGCCGCATAATATAACTCTTGCGTTAACACGAAATCTATTCACGGAGAGAAATATAAATAAATTAATTGTTTGATTACTACGCCATATGGTATAACTATAAAAAATTAGTTCTTAATTTTGTCTTAAACACACCAACGAAATAAGAATATCTAAAATTGATCGCAAAAATATGGCAGTATTTCTAAAGCGCAACTCCATGACAAGCGTGTGCGTGCATCGGCGCTGAGCATATTTGAATGTCACCGTGTGTTTTACAAAAATACGGTTTTTACAAATAAACATTAAACTTTTCTTTCAATTCGTACAACTTTAATCTACTCAATTAATATGATTAACAAAATGCTCAAAAAAATTAATTTTCCACAATTTGCCGCATAAGAATGCATAGCTTCATTGCACAATTAGTATTCAATTGAATGTAAATCGAATAAAATCTTGAATGCAACTCTGTAAGGTTTGCCTTTGCTTGGGTAATTAAAAGGCAATCGCTAATTGCTAGTTTAATTAAGCAGCAATATGAAGAGTGAAAAAATGTCTTGTAAGTAAATTAATAGTATATAACATTTTTATTTATAATAATATGACAAAATTACTATTTTGAACAAATTTACTCTTTCCAAAAGCGCCAAAACCGAAAAGGAAGCGACTAGCTTGGACTGAGGGTGCCGAGTTGGCCATACTAGAATTGTGGGCAGAGCGCGTAGTTGAGCTCCGTGGAGTACGTAAAAATATGCATATTTATGAGAAAATATCAGAAGAGTTAGCCAAATTGGGCTACATATATAATGCGCGGGAGGTGCAAGTGAAATTGGCCAATTTTTCACAGCGTTATCGGTAGGTGCATATATGCTATTTATTACTTATGTTAATAAGAAAAGAACTTAACTTAATCTTCAATATTGTATATATCCAGCATCGAGAAAGCGAATTTGTTAGAATCTGGTGAAACGATATCTTCTTGGCCGCATTATGGCAGAGTACATCAAATAATCGGGCGTTTCAAAGTAAACTCGTTTAGCGATTCAACACTGGAAACCATCCAAGGTAAGCAATGTTTTTAAAAATCACATTTTCATTATAATACTAAAATATAAATGTACTACTCAATAGCGGAATCATCTGGTGCATCACGCCTCTCACCGTTTGTACCGCCCTCCACACCTGCATCACCGGTCCCTTCGCAGCCGGCATCGCCGCATGCAAGCACTTCTACGCCAGTAACCGTGCGCAAAAAGAAGAAAGGCGTAAGTCAATTCCAATTGAAAGTGCTTGACAAATTCGAGGAACTATCAGCGGAGATAATACAGTATTTAAGGCATAGCGAAGAAAATGAAAGACAGTTAATTGAAGTTGAACGGCAAAAGGCGGAGTCACTGAAAAAATTTAGTGAAGTTAACAGAGAGTTTAAAGACGCTATTATAAAGTTTATACAGAAATAATAGAAGTTTATTATTTTAGTTTTTTTGTTAATATTAAAGAGTAATTTTTAGCATACTAAGTATTGCTTGTCATTTTAATGATAGATTGATGGTCACAACAAATTGAGATTTGTATTTCAACCATAACTTTATTGTGTGATTTGTGAGGTAGCGAGTTCTTTAACCGATTAGAAGCAAAATCTAATTGCATATGTTATCCACATTGTTGTCACAGAAGAATTCGCCAAACTTGAGCCGATATTTATTTTACTCCTCAAAAAAAACTTTGCAATGCGATCAAAACTAACAACTCTACGTAATACGATTATAGCTATTTTGTACTACTCTTGGATCCTAGCGGTGCTACTAGAGCGCAATTTTATTTTCTTTACTTCATACCAATAAAGCGACTCATTTTCAGGCAATTTGTTGACAATAATCTGATGAATTCCCTCCAAATTTTTAAAGGACTAAATGTATTCTAGTAGCTTAAAATATTCCGCTAATATTTTTGGTTAATGCTTCTCATATGATCTTCATCTATTATTGTTGATATTGTAGCGGCAGAAAACATTAAATCCTGCTCCGTTCCCACGACAGTCGGGTCTACGTAACCGGAACGGACCCGGGTTTATTCCGGCCAAGGACTGTCAACTCGGCAGAATTCTGCCGCTACAACAACAAAATTAAATCCTGCTCTTTCTATCGGTTAACTGCCATGGCTCTTTCTAGTTCCTCTAAGGGTTTGTACGTTTTACAAATTTCTCTTTGCCTTCAGAATATTTACTTGCTTAAATTTTAGTTTAAAATAATAAATTGACAATTTTCCGCTTAATGTAACTTAACCCCCAAATACACTTCCCTTTAGCAACCGTGGGCTGCCGGATCAATGTATATTGTGCAAATTATATTTAAAAGTTTTTATATAGTAAATTTTTTAGCATTCAAATAATCAGTATACTACTATCTGGGAGGCATTTGTTGCTAATTTTCTTACAAATATTTTTTTGTTTTTAATTTTTTGTTCCACGATATTGAGTAAATAATTGTTGGTATTTAAAATCGACTAGTACTTTATTAGTCATGTAAATATTGCAACGCTTATATAAGGAATTTTTCTAAAACAGGGTAAGATATTAAAAAATATCTTTAAAACATTTAACATAATATTGAATTTTGAAACTTAAACTAGTTGGGCGCACACAATTAAACTATTTACTGGCTTTTGAGGTTGTGGCCTTCGGCTCACTGCGCTGCGAAATTGCCGTTTTTCGTATAGGCGATGTTGCAACTGCACTTTCCGTTTTGACATTCGTTTGACTGGGCGATTTCAAATTGGTTTTTTCCTTTGCATCGTCTTCTTCAGTTTCCGATTCATATTTCTGTAAAGAAAAATATTGTGTAATCGGTATAAACTATTATTATGGATATAGTGAAATTCACTATTTACTTAACGATTAAGTTCCATTAAGTGGTTGTGCAATCTTTTGATACTTTTTTTTGTTTTCTTTTGGTGATTACAATTAGTACCTAAATTTGAACGCTTTTCGCACATTACACAAACATATTGGCCATAGTAAAAGCAATGTTAATTAACATTTCATTTAATTATATTTATATTATAATTAAGCATTTGTTTATTTTGCTTTCACAACGTCACAGTCTTAAATTACCCTTTCCCTGTATTTCGCTCCTTCACGATACGGGAGCATATTTAGGGTAATCCTGTAAGATGGAGGAGAACGAATGTGTATTTACAATTACAAAATATTAAGATTTCACAAAATGAAATCAAAAAGCAGTGCAACAATCGTAAAATAAATTAAAAAACTAAACAATGGTTAGAAAACTTAATAACGATATTCATAATTTTTTCTTTCAAATAAAAATACAATCAGTACGTATTATTTAAATATAAGCAGCTTGAGAGGGTAAACTAGTAAATACATTTTGCATTTTGCAGTACTATTTAATTTGTTTAACACCAGGGTTGCGCCGTTGTTAAACCAAAATTTTTCTATTTGGGATTACATTTTTTTAAATTCGGTATTTGTAGTTAAAAAATAAGATTTTTAGGATTATAAAAAAGATGTAATTCAATTACTGTTTATGCAATATTCGCAACCCTGTTCAACACACATCAAATGTATTTACGGTATATACCGCATTATATTTAACTTTTTGCATAGCAATATGCAAATTAAGAGTATTTAGTACTAGTTAAAAAAAGACTTTGTTTTTTACGACGAACACACCTTTTGTATATATTGACGGCGGGCGGGTATAGCCAAATGCAAGATACAAGTCGATGCATCGTCAAAGATGCACGGTATTGGTTCCTGGCACACAACACCGCTCTTCTCCACCTCACAGGCACGGAAAAGTATTTGTTTTTTGTCTTCCATAATATGTTTGCGGCAGTATTTACAGCATGGCATCGCACGTTCACCGCACTTAACGCCACCCTCAGAGAAGGCACATTTAGTAAAACCTGGACCTTTATGTGCATAGCCTTCAGTGGCGCGCGAACGCTTTTCTTTGAATTTCTTATAGAGCACTGCTTCAACTCCATAACGCCGATGATATGTGTTAAGCGCCTTAAGTTGATCGTAGAGTTTACGTTCGCGCGGCGAGTCCTTCAATTGATCATGTATGCTACCTAAGAATGGTAGTAGTCATTTCAAATTAATAAAAAATATTTTAATTTAAGAATGTTGCAAACACAAACTTACATAACATTTCACGTTCCTTACGCAAGGTTTGTAAATAGCGACGCCGGCGTTCTTTAAGTGTGTGATGCAAACTATTGATTTGATCAATGTACAAGCCTTGCAGTTTTGTGAGTTTTGCTTCAGCAATACGCACAGCTTCTTCACGTGTGTAAATGCCAGCATGCCTGTAGTGTTTAAAAGTAATGTTAGCAATGTTTTTTAGTTAATAAGTCATTTTGCCAAATACTTCATTAAATCCTCAGGTGCCGAGTCTGCACTATCATCGTCCGACTCGTTGAAATCATAACCACGCGCTGTGTTGTTTATACTGGGTGGTTCATTATCTTCGCTGTTGCTATCAGATGCATAATCCAGGATGCGCCGTCTCTTTTGCATGTTCGATAAGGCAGCATTAAGGCTATTAACCTGATCGTATGCGACTGTGAAATTTAATTGAATATTAATATGACAATAAAAATCTGCGTATTTAATTTATACATACCAAATGGCGCCACATGAGGTGACACCACATCAATTTCTTCATCTTGCTCTGCAATTGCTTCTTCCTGCTGTACATCTTCAACATTGATGTGATGTGCTAAATTATTCAACAATACTTCATTGGTATCGGTGCGCTTCAATTTTCCAACTGTTGCATGTGTCTTCTGGAGCTGCGCTTGGCGATTATGTTCAAAACAGAGCGTTGTCAATGCTGGATCTTTTTTTATGTCATGCTTTTGTAGTGCATTGGCACATTTGCGGCCGTTTCCATAATTAAAAGTGCATTGGCGGAAGTTTCCACAGGGATCCTGTAAAATATGCCGCATACAATATTCATAGCCATCGACACGTGGTATTGAACATTCGTAGGTTGAGTTGGAACAACGTTTTGCTTTGTTTTCGATTTCCTGATGTAATTGCTCACGCAATTCTTGTATGTTACCGCCGTAGCGTAAAAATTGTCTTTGGCGTGAATGAGAACAACCAGCGGACATTTTGAAAAAACTTCTAATTATGTTTTATCTCAAAGTATTTTTGTTTTACTGGCCTTCACCTCTAACATTCACATATGTAGAAGAAATGTTTTATAAAAAAATTCACGCTACTAGAGAAATTGTGAGGACAAAATTTGTTATGTACGTAGAGAAGAGAATGAGCAAAATCGATTATATTATCGATTATTTGGTTTTGCTGGTGCTACCATGTCGCATAATTTTAAATTAATAAATACATTTTTTGTAATAGAATAGTTTAGGTCCCACAACGTAGGAAGCTGCGCTTGGTCGGTCCAATAACGGGGTGTCCATAGTTGTTTTTTACGTGCGGAAAGGAGTTCGACGATCTCCTCTTTTCGTCCATACCATCAGATCGCTGCGTAAAAGAAATTATGACTGTTACATTACTACAGTATTTTTTTTCATTAGAAAATGTCTAACTCATTGAACTTGTAAATACATATAATGCTCGCTACAACAACAACAAAAACAACTAAGTTACTTCAAAAAATTCAGTTTATCCACAAGGATATTACGATTTAAAAAAATTTAATAATCGAGGTCTTCTTGAGATAAAAGAATCTCAATATTCAAAAATTAGAATTTTTTATTTCAATATAGAGAAATATGACTTGGGGTACTAGGAGGTCAAGAAGAGGGAAGAGCTTAGACGTCCCTTAGGATTGAATCTAATTGCAAATGTTGATGAAAAGAGTCGTATGTAAGATGCTGACTGATTTGCTGAGTATACTTGTATGTGGATTTATTACATCAAAATGTTCCACATAATATTTTTTGCGCCAACTATCCGTATTGTTAAATTTTACCGTCATATTGTGACTGGGATAAAATTGTGGGTCCGACTAAGAATCTCTCACAACTATTTCACTGTCCCGTTCCTTTTTTTAATACATTCTGCAGCAAAGGGTAAAACTCTTTGCAGTAAAAATAAAGGAATTATGTTGTCGTTGAAGGCGTCTGCATTATCAATAAAGAAATCGAAACTTGGGTGGTCCAGTGTAATTCTTTCGAACTAGTGATGTACGTGCACCCTGTTTGGAGAAAACCCTGCATGGACCATGCAAACGGGTGGTTAGCATTATGCTGGGACTCTTTGCATACAGGACATACGTTTAGTATGTCGCGAAAGATTCTAGATAGGTAAGCGGTTAACCTCCTACAGTATCCAACAAGACAACTTGAGCTCTTCCTCTGTAAAGGTTGATTGCATTCCAAGGGAAAGGTGTTAATAGTCCAGTCATTATAGTAAGTTCACCTCGGAATTCAGATACCCAGCTGTAAGTCTGTAAATACTTGTATATTGAAACCCTAAAAGTTGTCTCAAAACCTACATATGGTAGGGTGTACGCAACTATTAAATTTCAAGGTCAAAGTTCACAAAAATCGGTTTTTTGCGCTTTTTTTGTAAATATCTCATTTCCTATGGGTTTTTTGATATTGGTATTTATTATCAATATTGTAGAATACAAAATTCTCTACAAATTTTGTTCAAAATTTTTTTTCATACGGTGAACCGTTTTCGAGATAGAGGGCTTAGAGCGCGTGGTCACAGCATCACTTCAGGTCAACCGGTGCCTCCGATCAAAAACGCGCCATATATAGTTGATGAACTATCGATAAATCAATGATTATAAATATTTGTCATTCCGAACCAGGCATTAGCTTAAATTTATATCCCTTTCGAATCAATCTTATAACCAACAAGTTACCTGACCAAAAGACCTCTTCATATGATGTTGCTTATTTCAGTCCCATCTGACACCACAATACACAAACTTCTTATACTTTTTTTAAGTACTCGTAGTGTTTTGAGTTCGGGTTCTTACGTACAATTTCAAAGCTCATCACAACAGCTTTGCATCTTAGGGTTAGTTTTATCAAGGGAATCGTTTGCTTTACGACAGATTGTAATGGACACTAAGGACTTCAGTGGAACCTAAAATCGAACGTGCCGGTTTTAATTCACTAAAAGCTTTTACCCGTAATGCAAGGTTTCTCATTTATTTTTATCGTACTTCACACAAAGACTGTTTATCTTACACAAGGATACAGATCGGGACCAAACTAGTCTTGGAATGAAGCGCAAACTCAAGATCTTCTCATTGGAGCAGGAGGTATCTTGTACATTGAAAAAGGTAAGTTAAGGAGGATTTACTTTGACTGGATGTTTGGATTAGGCACCAAATATGATAATAAAATGGACTGACACAGTTTTTAAATAAAATACAATGATGCCTATGTAGGTCTTAAGATATTTTCAGAATAGACAACGCCCTCAGTAACAACTGCGAAATTTATAAAGGCTACTAATCAAAACAGGTTGCCATCTACTCTCTTTCGTTCTTTTCACTAAGCTTCAAATCTGCCGAAATGCCAAGTCTAAGCACTGGTTTTTTAAATAGATGGATTCCAAATGGATAGAAAAGCTTTCGGATGATCCCATCTGTTTGGAATTACGCATCTTGTTTACAGAAGTAGAAAATGCGCAAATATATTTGAAGGAAAGAAAATAATGAATCAAAACTATACCTCCCCTACAGCGAATAGTCGCCACATTAGCGACATTAAAGCAGCAAGATACCATTCACCACCTTGAAGGACTTGTCTGCTCTGCTCGTAAACAATATGACGCGCAATCAGTCTCTTGTCATCGTTAAATTAATGCGGCGCAAACAAGATTCGCAACAGGCAACAATTTCTTGAAGTGCTATGATAGCCGAACACAGGTAACGGAAGTATTGACTGCATATTGAGATAATAAGCGGTTTAAGGAAACGCCCAAATTCTTTTGTCGTTTACTTAATATTCTATTTCACACGCTGCGTTGCTGTTACTAGTATTGTTGTTTTTGTAGTTCTAGTAAATTGCATTTTGTGGTTTTCTTATTCTTATCTACATTGGCGCTATCTTCGCATTTCAAACATAGCCGTTCGAGGCGTCATGCATCAATTGCTTGCATATTGTGTGACATTCAGGGCGACCGTTCACCAGCTGAGCATTCTTCTTTGCCTGTCCTTTGATTTAAATGCACCGTACATACATACGAATATATAGATACATATAAGAATTTATATTGTGTATAATTTGCAAGTCTGTATCTTTGCGAAATGTCTCTTGATGGTTTCTTTTGCTTTGATTTTTCGTTTCTTTGGCGAGTAATTTCTTGGCTCTCCTTTGACCCTACTTGTCAGAAGTCATAAATGAAAAGTCTTTCAGAGTTCCATGAGAACAGAAATGCTCGCAAAAATGTCTATGATACTACTCAGTGTTACGTTATTATATTTGCCGATAATTGTATAAACATACACATCAGAAAAAAACTAAGGTCCAGCCAAAGCTTAGTCTCTATTCAGTTGCGCCTTCGAACAAAGTAATAATTGTAAAATCTGATTTGTCTGCAGTGAAGCAGTTTCTAAGGTCTTCATTAATAATCGTTACTTTAAAATGTTGGCCTAAAATTAACATTCACTTCTTATTCGGGATAAATACCTTTATATAGATCATAAATAATTAGTTTTCGAAACATAGAACAGATAATTGCATAGAATCTGTAGGGTCCTCGTTATTAAGGTAAAAATATAGTTTTTATAACATTTATGATATCAAGATCATATTGGATTCGCTTTCTGTTTACAACTTCATGGCTTTTACCATTAGGACCTCTGTTGATAGATCGCTGATTACTTCGAAATATTTTAAGAAAATGTATCAGTCCTTTCATTCCCCCCTCGTAATCTGCTATCACTAACTGGTACCGCATTGGATAGTTTCAGAGGTAGGCAGCTTACATCCACTAGAACTATAAACATGTTTCTAAGTAGATACAAAGTTTCAATTCTTCGAACTATTCTAAATCTATGAATATTGAATAACTCCGATTCCAAATTATATAAAATTGCATAGAACTTTAAATTTATGATGGTCATTAGATCTCTTAGCTTAGCTACTTTCTCAAGTATAGAGAAGGTTGCGCTATAGGTGAGGTTAGGTTAAAAGGTCGATCCTGTGACAAAAGTCAGTGAGGATACCGCTAGGACAGTTGTCAGTCTGTTGGGATATTTAAAACGTCTAAGTATTTATGATAAAGGCCCTCATAAATCGAAAACCGCTCGGACTTTTAACAAATTTGTTTTAGAGTTAATACCAATTTCGAAATTTTCACCAGTTTGTGCCGGTTCCAGTATGACTGCTGCGATGTTTATCCCTAGTCTTGCAAGGGTTAGATAATGGAGGAGAAAGTGCCTGAATGTTTCCACGCTCCCTACCATTAAACGAATAGTCGATAAAACAAACAAATGGAAAAAAATCCCATTCTGCAGGATGTCCTTATTGCCTCACTGGCCCCACTTTAAGGTATTTAATTATCGCCTCCGGCTGCACAATCATGAATGTGCTCCTGATATCGAAAACGGAGCCTACCGCGTGCAAGGCAGTATCGACCGACATGCCTTTGCTGTGGGTAGGCCCCTTAACAACTTGCCCTCGGAATTCTACCCCTGATGTACAAGTCCACGAATCTTTCCAATATTTTCTTCCCAATAAGGGACCTGAAATCCGTGGGAATGAGGTCAGAGTTTTTTTCGGGATGTGATATAAACGATACCACGTTTTAGGTACCTGATATAATCTAATACAGTTCGCGTAGATGGGGCCAACAAGCTGTATGACAACTTGACCGTCCGTTACAGTTGAGTCGGTATGATGATGAGAAGACTGTACAGCCCCCCCGAAGTCTTCCAAGCTGTACTTCTTTGGTGTACTAGTTCTAAGCAAAGTTAGCATTCAGAAGTAGATTTGACGACTCCTCACTGCTTGAAGTCCCGCCCTAGTCTCATTCTTAGATACCCCATGGGAGTAGAATTTTTCGTCAGAATGCGCCTATACCTTGACGATTTATGGTTTCCCTCTTAACTTTTGCAGAAGGCTCTACTGGAAGCTCTATTGGCCTTTAGCTGAGACGTATACATATGGTAGACGATCCTGTTTTATATACAGCATTCGTTTTGTGGGTTGATTACCCTTTAGTTTTCAAAGGAATTTAAGAATAAGTATTGTAAATAAATAATAAGACGAGATGCTTATTATAGAAATTCGACAAGGTACAATATACAATATTACTCTTGTTATCCTTATAGACCAAACCGACTAAATATCGTTCATTGT